TTAAGATACACAAATTTTTCGTTTTCCTATATGGGAAGTGAACGTTGCTATTTAAACAAAAAACGCAAGTTCTGCTATTCGGCACGCATTTAATATATAAATTTTTTATATATATATATATTATATAAATTATATATATATATATAATTTAATATAAAAATATTATAATATATATATAATATAAATTTTAAAATATAATAGGGTTGGTGCAGCAACCACCCGGGAGGGACTACCGTCCCCGCCCAAGTGAGTGTGAGCGAAAACCCGTAATTGTTTTACTAATGGTAGGATTGCTGGTGTTTTTTTTCTGTCTCCTAAAAATGCAAGATTAGGACGTCTTGCACTTCTACTTACCTTTGGTCACATACCCCTACATGCAGTTTATTTTTACACACTCATCTAGTTTTCTTTGATTTTTCTTAATATTCTTGGGTTTTTTACTTTTCCTTTTATATCCAGGGAATGGGAATAAGAAACTTTCCTCCGTAAAATTTCAAAAAAATCCGGAAAATGGGCTATCCCTTTTTTCCCGTAATATTGCTAAAAAGAATAAAAAAAAAAAATTGTCAAAATGGGAAGTCTGAATGTGCGGGGGGGGTTGTCCCGAATGATAAGAAAAGATGATTGTGGATTTTATGAATGAGAAAAAAGCGGATGCCCCGGTTTTAAAATGAAACAAACTGAAGGGGGGGGAAATTTTTTCAGTGGAGGGAAAAAAGGGGATTGGGTCAGGGGTTTAAAAATGGGAGTTAGAGTTTAAAAGAAGGAGTAGCAATAATTTTTAAAAGGAAAAATTTTAAACGGGAAAAAGAGGGCCCTATAAAGGGTATTAATTCAAGGATTATGTGGAGTAAAAAAAAGGTTGGATGTGAAAAGGGGGTTTAAATAGTAAGCGTATAAAACCGGAGAAGAGAGAAGTGTAAGGGGGAAAAAGAGTTTTTGGGGGGAAAGGATAATTGTGGGGGATTTTGAAACCAAAGGGTGTGAAATTAATGAGGGAAGGGGATTTTCAATCCCAAAGTGGGTAAAAAATTTTGTGGGGGGAAATTAGAAAATTTTAAATTTGGGGGGGCCGGGGGGAAAATTTGAAAATGGAAAGCCTTTTAAATTGAGCTTGTGTGGGAAAAGGTTTGGTAATAAGTAATCCCATTTTTTAGAGAAGAGGTAAATAAAATATAAAAGGGTATATATAGCAAGTAATGAAAGTTTTTTGTTTGATTATTTTGGTGGAAAAAAGGTTGATGGGGAGGGTCCAGGATGTACACGTTTTTAGAGGGGCAACTGATATATCGGATCATTATTTAGGTTTTTAAGGGTTCCAGTTTAAATAAGGGTAGATGGGAAAAGAGGAAAAAAGGCAACAAGCAAAAGGGAGGGAAAAGTTTTATAAAAATAAGGGAGGAAGGGAAATTTTTGGGGGAGATTAAGCAAATTTTCGGCAAAACAGGGGCTATTTCAAGTATGAGTAGCGGGGGGGGGGGTTTGGGGAAAAGGGTTTGGGAAAAGTTTTTAAAAAAAAAATGCAGTATTAAAGGGGGAAAGTGGGGAGAAGTTTGGGGGTTAAAGGAGGGTGAGTGCAGGGGGAAAGGGAGTGATTTGGGAAATGATGAAGGGGAAAAGGGGGTGATTTAAAAGAGAAAAAAATTTGCTTAGAAGGTTTTTACAAAACAGAAAATGTTTTTAAAAGAGCAAGTATAAGGAGAGTAAAAGAAAGGTAAAGAGAGTGGTGAGAGAGTGCGAAAGGAGAGTAGATGATAGAGTGGGAGAGGCACTGTCAAGAAATTTTAATGAAAATAAGAAAAAAATTTGGAGTGAGTTCAACAAGTTAAGAAAGCCTAGAGAACGAATGAATTTGTCAGTTAAAAACAGAGTAGGGGAGTTAGTAGATGGAGAGTTGGAGGTTTTGGGTAGATGGCGGAAATATTTTGAGGAACGTTTAAATGTCGACGAAGAAAGGGAAGCGGTAATTTCGTGCACTGGCCAGGGAGGTATACCATCTTTTAGGAGTGAAGAAGAGCAGGATGTAAGTGTGGAGGAGGTGCGTGAGGCATTACGTAGAATGAAAAGGGGTAAAGCAGCTGGAACTGACGAGATCATGACAGAAATCTTAAAAGCAGGGGGATATACAGTGTTGGAGTGGTTGGTATTTTTGTTGAATAAATGTATGAAAGAGGGGAAGGTACCTAGGGATTGGCAGAGAGCATGTATAGTCCCTTTATATAAAGGGAAGGGGGACGAAAGAGATTGCAAAAATTATAGAGGAATAAGTTTACTGAGTATACCAAGAAAAGTGTACAGTAGGGTTATAATTGAAAGAATTAGAGGTAAAACAGAATGTAGAATTGCGGATGAGCAGGGAGGTTTTAGAGTGGGTAGGGGATGTGCAGATCAAGTGTTTATATTGAAGCATATATGTGAACATTATTTAGATAAAGGTAGGGAAGTTTTTATTGCATTTATGGATTTAGAAAAGGCATATGATAGAGTGGATAGAGGAGCAATGTGGCAGATGATGCAAGTATATGGAATAGGTGGTAAGTTACTAAATGCTGTAAAGAGTTTTTATGAGGGTAGTGAGGCTCAGGTTAGGGTGTGTAGAAGAGAGGGAGAATACTTCCCGGTAAAAGTAGGTCTTAGAGAGGGAAGTGTAATGTCACCATGGTTGATTAATATATTTATTGATGGGGTTGTAAAAGAAGTAAATGCTATGATGTTTGGGAGAGGGGTGGGATTAAATTATGGGGAATCAAATGCAAAATGGGAATTGACACAGTTGTGTTTTGCTGATGATACTGTGCTTATGGGAGATTCTAAAGAAAAATTGCAAAGGTTAGTGGATGAGTTTGAAAGTGTGTGTAAAGGTAGAAAGTTGAAAGTGAACATAGAAAAGAGTAAGGTGATGAGGGTATCAAATGACTTAGATAAAGAAAAATTGGATATCAAATTGGGGAGGAGGAGAATGGAGGAAGTGAATGTTTTCAGATACTTGGGAGTTGACGTGTCAGCGGATGGATTTATGAAGGATGAGGTTAATCATAGAATTGATGAGGGAAAAAAGGTGAGTGGTGCATTGAGGTATATGTGGAGACAAAAAACGTTATCTATGGAGGCCAAGAAGGGAATGTATGAAAGTATAGCAGTACCAACACTCTTATTTGGGTGTGAATGTAGCAGCGAGGACGCAGTTGGAGGCAGTGGAGATGTCCTGTCTAAGGGCAATGTGTAGTGTAAATATTATGCAGAAAATTCGGAGTGTGGAAATTAGGAGAAGGTGTGAAGTTAATAAAAGTATTAGTCAGAGGGCTGAAGAGGGGTTGTAGGGGTCGTCCTCGAAAAGGTTGGAAGGAAGGGGTAAGGGAGGTTTTGTGGGCGAGGGGCTTGGACTTCCAGCAGGCGTGCATAAGCTTGTTCAATAGGAGTGAATGGAGACGAATGGTATTTGGGACCTGACGATCTGTTGGAGTGTGAGCAGGGTAATATTTAGTGAAGGGATTCAGGGAAACCGGTTATTTTTATATAGCCGGACTTGAGTCCTGGAAATGGGAATACAATGCCTGCACTCTAAATTAGGGGTTCGGGATATTAGCAGTTTGGAGGGATATGTTGTGTATCTTTATACGTATATACTTCTAAACTGTTGTATTCTGAGCACCTCTGCTAAAACAGTGATTATGTGTGAGTGAGGTGAAAGTGTTGAATGATGATGAAAGTATTTTTTGGGGGGGATTTTCTTTCTTTTTGGGTCACCCTGCTTCAGTGGGAGACGGCCGACTTGTTAAAAAAGAAATATATATATATATATATATATATATATATATATTATATATATATATATATATATATATATATATATATATAATATATATATATTATATATATATATTTTATATATAATATATATATATATAATATATATATTATAAAATATATATATATATACATGTCGTGCGAATATGTAAACTGGTCAATTAGCAAGAACTCATTTAAAAATTAAGTCCTTCCTAAAATTTTCTCTTATACGTTTAAAGATATATTTTTTTCATTAATGTTAATGTAAAAATTTTTTTAATTTTGCACCAAAAGAATCTTAAAAAACTTACCTAACCTTATTATAACAAGAGCAATTTATTTTAGCCTAACCCAACAATATATATTTTAGATTTGTTTACAGTAATTTAATACTTAACAAACACAGTGAAATATATTTTTTTCGTTAAGTTCAGAATGATTTTGGCGAAATTATTGATACACAAATTTTCACTTGCCCCTATATGGCAAGATGAGCGTTCCTATTTAAGCCAAGATCGCAAGTTCTGCCTATTCGGCACGACATATATATATAATATATATATATATATATATATATATATATATATATATATATATATATAATATATATATATATATTATATATATATATATATATATATAAAATATATATATATGAATGACTCACGAAATCGTAATGACACAATTGCAAACAAACCATACCACTGGTGGGGTTAGAACCCGCGGTCAGAGAGTCTCAAAACTCCAGCCCGTCGCGTTAGCCACTAGACCAGCTAGCCACAATAAGATTCATCCAACTAGGTATATTTCTACACCATAGGAATGTTAGCACAGGCACCACTGTGACCACAAATGCAAGTTTTTACAGACGAATCTCACGCTTGCATGGCCGTGACGAACTCTAGCTCAAGTCCCTTCAAAACCTTCCTATGGTGTAGAAATATATCTAGTTGGATGAATCTTATTGAAGCTAGCTGGCACAGTGGCTAACGCGACGGTCTGGAGTTTTGAGACTCTCTGACCGCTGGTTCTAACCTCACCAGTGGTATGGTTTATAAATGAATATCGAACCGAGGTCCTTGATGAAGCCTCAATTGCACACCTACCAGCAGTAACAACTTGGTTGATCAGGCCCTGATCCACCACGAGACCTAGTCTCAGACCGGGCCACGGGGGACTTGACCCCCGTAACCCTCTCCAGGTATACTCACCCCATGGCTGATCCCCAGTAGACGAGGTTGAAGATGACGAAGGTTACAGGAACGGAGATTCGAGCCGCCATGAGGATGAGTAGGTGGGTGGGCAGGTAGGCAGGTCGTCTGGGACTTGGGGGATAGTCAGGTCTTCCCATGGAGGGATACTCCTCTAGGGGCTCAGGGTCAGTCCCAGTAAGACCGTGCTTGAAGGCCAGGGCTCTCTGACCTGTGATCTGTACCTGTGGTATTATTATTTATTATTATTATTATTATTATTATTATTATTATTTTTATTATTATTATTTTTATTTTTTATTATTATTATTATTATTATTTTTTATTCGTATAATTATTATTTATATAATAATATAATAATAATAATAATAATAATAATAATAATAATTATATTTTTACACACATACAAATTAACACACACTACACACAGACACACACAGATAAACACACAGATACACACAACACACACACACACCACACACACACACACACACACACACACACACACACACACCCACACACACACACAAACACAACACACACCACACACACACAGGTGGTGGAGCACCCGGAAGAAACAAGTGTTAATTGGGCAACCAACACGGTTTCAGGGAAGGAAAAACCTGTGTCACAAACCTACTAGAGTTTTATGACAAGGTGACAGAAGTAAGACAAGAGAGAGAGGGGTGGATCGACGCAAATTTTTTTTGGGCTGCAAGAAGGCCTTCGACACAGTTCCTCACAAGAGGTTTTCTGCAAAAAACTAGAGGATCAGGCACACATAACAGGAAAGGCACTGCAAATGGATCAGAGAATACCCGACAGGGAGGCAACAACGAGTCATGGTACGTGACGAGGTGTCAGAGTGGACGCCTGTGACAAGCGGGGTTCCACAGGGTCAGTCCTAGGACCTGTGCTGTTCTTGGTATATGTGAACGACATAACGGAAGGGATAGACTCGAAGTGTCCTTGTTTGCAGATGATGTGAAGTTAATGAGAAGAATCAAATCGGATGAGGATCAGGCAGGACTACAAGAGCCCTGGACAGGCTACAACCCTGGCCAGCAACTGGCTCCTTGAGTTTAAACACTGCCAAATGCAAAGTCATGAAGTTTGGGGGAAAGGGGCAAAGAAGACCGCAGACACAATATAGTTTAGATGGCCAAAGACTGCAAACCTCACTAAAGGGAAAAAAGATCTGGGGGTGAGTATAACACCGAGCATATCTCCTGAGGCGCACATCAATCAGATAACTGCGGGCAGCAAAACGGGCGCCTGGCAAACCTACGGATAGCGTTCCGATACCTCAGTAAGGATTCGTTCAAAAACTCTGTATACCATTTACGTCAGGCCCATACTGGAGTATGCACACCAAAGTTTGGAATCCACACCTAGTCAAGCACGTCAAGAAATTAGAGAAAGTGCAAAGGTTTGCAACAAAGGGTAGTCCCAGAGCTACGGGGATTGTCCTACGAAGAAAGGTTGAGGGAAATCGGCCTGACGACATGGAGAACAGGAGGGTCAGGGGGAGACATGATAACGACATATAAAATACTGCGCGGAATAGACAAGGTGGACAAAGACGGGATGTTCCAGAGAGGGGACACAGACACAAGAGGTCAAATTGGAAGTTGGGAAGACTCAGATGAATCAAAGGGATGTTAGGAAGTATTTCTTCAATCATAGAGTAGTCAACCGTGGAATAGCCTAGAAAGTGTTTGTAGTGGAGGCGGGAACCATACATATTTTTAAAAGGCGAGGTATGATAAAGCTCAGGGGGCAGGGAGAGAGAGGACCTAGTAACAATCAGCAAAGAGGCGGGGCCAGGAGCTATAAAATCGACCCCTGCAACCACAAATAGGTGAGTACAAATAGTGAGTACACACATCACACCCACACCACACACACACACACACACACACACACACACACAACACACACACACACACACACACACACAGAACGCAAGGGCAAGAAACAAACAATATTCTCAGAACCATTCAACCTATCACACCAATCCCAACACACACTACAATCCAAAACCCAAAGGTGGCAGGGAGGCAAAAACCAAGTGTGCTAGGGAATGGAAAGAAATATAGAAGGCAAAGGACCCAGGAGAATAAGGAGAGCAGTCGTAGAGCCAGAAACGAATATGCACAGATAAGAAGGGAGGCCCAAAGACAATATGAAAATGACATAGCAGCGAAAGCCAAATCCGACCCGAAACTGTTGTACAGCCACATCAGGAGGAAAACAACAGTCAAGGCCCAGGTAATCAGGCTAAGGAAGGAAGGAGGAGAGACAACAAGAAATGACCGTGAAGTATGTGAGGAACTCAACAAGAGATTCAAAGAAGTGTTCACAGAGGAGACAGAAGGGGCTCCAGAAAGACGGAGGGGGTGGGGCACACCAAACCCTGTGCTGGACAGTGCACACAACCGGGAAAAAGTGAAGGGGGTTTCTGAGTGGGGCTAGATACCTAAAAGGCAATGGGGCCAGATAAAATCTCCCCAGGGTTTATTGGGAGAGGGAGCAAGGCGCTATGTGTACCCCTAAAAAACAATTTTCCCAATACTTTCTATAAAAACAGGGAAATTGCCTGAGGCATGGGAAAAACAGCAAATGTAGTCCCAATTTTTTAAAAAAAAAGGAACGGGGGGAACAAAGAAGCCCCTAAACTACAGCCCATTTGTCATAAATTTTTTTAGTATGAAAAATTCATGGAGAACATTACCCAAAAGAAGAGTGGGGAAACCCAATTAAAAGGAAGGGATCTCATCAAAAAAGCAGCCAACATGGTTTAAAGGGGGGGGAAAATCCTGTGCCCAAAAACCCTGGGGGGTTCTAGGGACATGGTGCCCAAAATAAAGACAAGAGAGGGGAGGGGTGGGTGGATTGCTTATTTTTTGGGGCTGAAAGGGAAGGCGTTTGGACCCCCAACCCCGGGTTCAAAAAAGGAGGGAAAAACGGGAAGGACCAAGGCCGGGAAAAACCAGGGAAGGCACTTACAGGGTTTTCAGGGGGAAATTTGGGGCCAAGGAAGGGGAAAAGCGGGCCAGTCTGTTTCTGGGGAAGGCAGAGGGCAAGGTGACCAAGGGTCCCGGGGGTAAGTTTAGGGGAACCATTTTTTTTTCGGAAAAAAGGAACAAAAAGGGCGGAAAGGGGAAAGACCTGGGGGTTGGTCCCGGGTTTTAAATACAATTTGAAAGAAGTTTTTTAAAACGAAAAAACCCCAGGGCGAATTTAAAGGGGTTGGGACAGGTTTCAAACCTGGGAAAAATTTGGGGGTTGAGTTAACCCCCAAAATTTTCCAAAGGGGGCATAAAATTGGGGGGGGAAGGAAAAGAAGGGAAGCGGGTCGGCCCCTTGGGGCCCCCGGCCTAAAACCCTTTCACTAAGGGTTTTGGGGTGGGGGTATAACAAGGGGCCATTTCCGGGGCCTCAATCTTCCCGGCTCAAAATAAAGGGGCCCCTGAAAATTAAAAAGGGGGTTTGCTTTTTTAAAAAGGTTGTTCGGGCCCCCCTAACCCGGGGTTTTTTTAGGCCCCTTTTATATCGGCCCAGGGCCCACCCCCCGTAAAAGGAAACAAGGGGGGGGAAAGGTTTGGGGGCCGGGAATTAGTCCCCTAAAGGTTTTTTTAGGGGGGTTTTTAAAAAAAAATTAAAACCGGGCGACTCTGGGGACAGGAAAAAATTAGGGGGGAAACATGTTTAAAGACATAAAAAAATTACTAAAGGGGAATGCCCCCCGGGTGGCAAAGACAGGATTTTCCCAAAAAGATTGACACAGTAAAAAGGGAAAACAATTTTGGAATTTAAAAGACACAGTTTTTACAGGGTTTTTGGGAAAGTATTTTTTTAAACCACAGAGTAGCCCGTAAGGGGAAAAAGTTTGGGAAGCAAATTTGGTGGGGGCAGGTCCTTACTTTCCCTTTTAAGGGGTTTTTTTAACCCGGGGTTTCAAAGGTGGGGGGGGGTACGGGTAGTAAAAGGGGGGAGGGGAAACCTGGAGAACCTAAAAATGTTGAGTACCCTAATTTTTTAGTAAAACCATAACCAAACACAACCCAACCCCCACACAAAACCAAACACCCACAAAGCACACAAAAAACCACCCAAAAAAAAAACCACAACCCACACTCACAAACCCACACCAAAACCAAAAACCACACCCCCCAACAAAACTCAAAAGGATGTTCCAGAATTTGGGGGGCCCGCCCAAGGGGACACATTTTGGGTTTTTTAAAAGACCAGATTGAATCCGGGGAAATGTTAGGGAAGTTTTTCTTACCCCACAAAGTAGTCAGGAAGGGGAAAATTATTTTTTGGGAAGCGTGTAGTTGGGGGGGGAAACCCAAACATAGCTTTAAGCAGGGGGTATGAAAAAGTCACGGTTCGGGGAAGGGGGGAACCTTTTTGGGGCCAGTGAAGAGGGGGGGCCCAAAGGCTTGGACTCCCCCCCCTGAAACCTAAATGGGTTTAAGTCCCTTTTGGGGTGGAAACAAAAAAAAACCACCCCAAAACAAATCCACCACCCAAACTCAACCCCAACAAAAACCAAAACCAACCCCATTTTTTTATGCAATGGTTTCGGGTTCTTTTCGGAGGAACTCCCCGTAGGGGTTTTGTGATGGGGTATCCCAGTGAGCCCTTTTGGACGACCCGGGTTTCCCCACAGGGGTCGCCCCCTGGGCCATGCTATTTTTGGTATATGTAAAAGGGCCATGAGGGAAAGGGATAGACCAGAAGTGTCCCTGTTTGCAGATGATGTAAATTTTAAATGGGGGAAAATTTTTAAATCAGATGCGGACCAGAAAAAGGTTACAACGAGCCCTTTGGACGGGTTGGATGTGTGGCCCCGAAAACTGGCCCCTAAAATTTAAAAACCCCGCAAATGAAAAGTCATTAAAGATCGGGAAGGGGCAAAGAAGCCCCGCAGACAGGTATAGGAAAGGCCCCCACCAAAGACTGCAAACCTCACTCAAGGAGAAAGATCTAGGAGTGAGTATAAATACCAAGTACATCGCCAGAACACACTTTAAAATAGGTACTGCTGTGGCATAGGGGGCCCCCGGGCCCAAACCTGAAAATTTCTTTCCGGTCCCCCTCAGAAAGGGAAACTTTTCAAGATTTTAAAAACACTGTGAAACGTCAACCCCATACTGGAGTACGCAGCACCAGTTTGGCCCCCCACACCGGGTTTCAAAAAACCACGTAAAGAAAT